CCCCAAAACCCCAAAACCCCAAAACCCCAAAACCCCTCAGATTAAGATATTTATAGAATTTAAACAATAGGAGTACTCCTTTCTCAATCTTAGCAGTATTTGGGTGATTTCCATACAAATCTAGCATACTTCCTTCCCAATCAATTACATTCCAGAGATCTTTTCCAAACCCCCCAAATCACCCTCCCATCCCCTTCTCCCCTCCCACTCAAAATCCCCTTCCTCTCCTTCCTCTCCTTCCACCTCTTCTACTTCCAGTCAGCTCCAGAACCCCAGCCTAAACTGGCAGCTCTACTAGAGCTGCCAGTTTAGGTCAGGTTCTTTGTGGCTGAGCTAGGAGGAGGGGCTGGGGAGGAGACTTTTGGGAGAATGCGGAAGTGGGGTTAGGGGTGGAAGGAGTTACTTTGGAGAAGAGGGTGGGATTGGGGAGGGGGTGGTGGAGGGGTGGGGGAGGAGTAGAGGGAGGAGTAGGGCGTCTTGGGGTGAGGGGGTTGGATAGGTGGGTGATTTTGTGGGTAAGGTGGAGGATGAGGTAGTGGAGGATGAATAGGGGTTTCTTTAAGATAGGTTTGGTTTTAATTGGAGTCTGTGCAAGATTTTCAATTTTCTTTGGTTGTCTGAAAGAATTCGTCAATGAGCTCTCTTGTATGTTTTAGGATCTTGAGAATCTTCTTGAGAGGCATCCTCTTACAAGATTGTTGACCTGTGACCTTGTTGAAAAATGTATATAATGTGCTACCAAAGCCTTCCTCTCGAGGTTCTGGATACTTCAGAATATAGTTAACAGACTTAGTCTGACAGCTTACATCTCTCTCTTCTTAGAGGATTACTGGCCTCTGCTGATTAATTGTATGATGGGTAAGGTTTGGAAATCTGGCTTGCCTTGAGTTGTTTCCAGAAACTCCTTTGGTCTCCTCAGTTAAGATTTCGAAGTGATGGGTCTGATGTGATTCTGATATTTTAAACATTTCAGCATTTTTGTCAAGGTCATCATTAGTCTCTCTCAATAGATCATCACACAATAAGTCCATATAAATGTTTTGGCTAGGTTCATTAAACTCAGTTTTAATAAACTCCATGACTAAATTCTTAATATCTTTCGACTATAAAATATTTATAAGGGGTTTTGGGGTTTTGGGGTTTTGGGG